TAGAACTGATGCACTTGAGTTATGGTGTTGGAGGAGAATATTAAAAGGACCATGGACTGCCAAAAGAGCAAACAAATCTGTTGGAAGACGTGAAGCCAGAATGGCCAGACTTCGTCTCTCATACTTTGGCTACATTATTAGGAGGGACCAGTTTGGAGAGAGTACCATGTCTGGCACAGTGGCAGCAGTGATAGGCATAAACATAGTAACAATTGTGAGGTTGGCACAGGACGGGTCAATGTTTTGTTCTGTTATGCACAGGGTTGCTGAGTTGGTACTGACTTGATAGCACCTCACTACAACAACTAACAAGGGCTTTGTAACATTACTCAGGCAGAGCGAGGCCTCCCTGTGGGCACGACAGAGGAGAAGCTGTCCTGACCAGAACTGTGCTCTGAGCATTTTCTGATTCTGTACTGCAGCCTGTTAACTTCACTAAGAAACCCCGTAACTGTGAGTAAGGTGTCTGAGTTCTGTGTGCCCACTGCAATGAATCATCACACCAAGCTAAACAGACCGCTGTGGGAGAGATGGTTGGAACCATTTTTGTATATTGCTTTCAGCATCACAGCCATACGCAAACCACCACAGTATGACAAACTGACAAGGTGAGTGGTGGTGAAAGAGTAGAAACTAGCAAAACCCCAAAGCTAGAAGAGACAGAGCTATATAACCAGTTGTCATTGAATAGATTCCAACTTATGGTGACCCCACATGTTTCAGAATAGAATTGTGCTCCACAGTATTTTCTATTGTGATCTTTAAGCAGGTTGCCAGGTCTTTATTCTGAGGTGCCTCTGGGTGAGTTCAAACCACCAAATTTTTTGTTAGTTTAACCATTTGTGCTATCTAGGAGCCCTAGAGAAGTATATAAGTAGGCCTAGTCCACGAGAAAACTGTAATATTGAGGGAAATTGTGTCTGCCACTTTCTCTTCTTTCTTGAACTCCCCTCAAATCCCCTAGTTCCGCTATTTTCAAGCTGTTTTTTGACTTGCAAAATGGTATGACATTAACAGCTAAGGAGATACAACTGTGGTTAAAAGGATAAGAAACTAGATTATTTTAAGACTACTCCTCATGGTGCTGATCTTTGTTGGGACCATTTTTAGGAAATCATAGTGAGAATTAATAACAAAATTGGAGAAGATAAATGAAAACTCAGTAAAAGGATTTAAAAGATGTAAATTACTAGAAAGGAATGACTATAGGGTTATAGAATATGAATAGTACAGCTCTCATGGGACAAACTGAAGGCTACCATATTTAAATATAAGACAAAGTATACATGAAAAGTTTTTTTCTTTTCTCTTAATGGAAACCAATCTTTGTAGGCCAATTTACATTTCCACCTTTTCATCACAGCCTAGTCTCATTCTCCTACCACTTCCTGTCCCTTTCACTGAAGTTCTCCTTTCTTAAGGGATGGCTCTTTTTTCTTCTACAGTCTGTCTCATAGTCTGGTGGAGGTGAAGGTGGGGATGCAGCCAGGTGTCCTTGTTCTGCAACGCCTTTCAAAACATTTCTCCTCTCATTTCCCCTCAAAAGCTTAGCTCATCTGAAGGAGTTTGTAGGTAATCTCCCTTGCACTGCCTTTCATTCATTCAAGATTTTTTGCATCTAACTCACTGTAATTTTTACTATATCTCCTGCTGTCATTCTTGTTGATTTTAAACTCCAGTTCACGCTACCTAACACCTGGCCTCTCAATTCCTTGACCTCATTTCCTCACTTCTCACAGACCCAGTTTGGAATGCATTGTTACCAACAGACATATAATCACCCAAGCTTCAATGCCAGCCATTCACTCTCTGACCATCATCTCCTGTCCCTCCTTCTCTTGTTTACTCCAAACCAAACCTAATGCCATCTAGTTGATAATGACTCATAGAGAACCAACTGCCCCATCGGGTTTCCATGACTGTAATCTTTACAGAAGCAGAATGGCATATCTTTCTCCTACTAAGCAGCTGGTGAGTTTGAACCACCAGCCTTTTTGATAGTGGCTGAGAGCTTAACCACTGAGTCACCAGGGTTCCCTTCACTCCAGTAATTTTTTGACCTCTTAAAGACATCTGTTCCACTGAATCGACACCATTTTTTCCATTAATCATCATTCTTCGTGTCTCTCTTCGCTCCTTATGCAGCTCAGATTCCACAATCCATCATTACAATCACTGTTTTGCATATAGCCTCAAACCGCCTATATTGGATCTGCATGTTGTTGTTGTTGTTAAGTGCCGTCGAGTCGGTTCCGACCCATAGCGACCCTGTATAGGGTTTCCGAGGGTGTAAATCTTTACGGGAGTAGAAAGCCTCATCTTTCTCCCGCGGAGCGGCTGGTAGTTTCGAACTGCTGACCTTAAGGTTCATAGCCATATAAACAGCAAAATTATGGTTGGAGTGAAAAGAGGCTATTGTGCTAATTCATTTCACTCTTATTCAATAACACAAATGACAGTCATGCATTTGGACATCGTAGGATGGTTTACACAGGAATACAATCTACTACATCTGTGGAAAGAGACTATGGAGAAGCTCATCGTCAGTCAAATCAGGAGTTGACTGTGGAAGACTATAAATTCTCATATGCAAGTTTAAGTTGAAGCTAAAGAATAAGCAAACCCCCAAACACCAAAGTCCAACCTTAAAAACACCCCACCTGAACTTAGAGATCATCGCAAGAATAGCTTTGATGCACTGATACTGATGACTGGAAGAGTTGTGGAATGACATCAAGGACACCAGACATAAAGAAAGTAAAAGGTCATTAAAAAGAAAGAGAAGACCAAAATGGATGTCAGAAGAGACTGAAGACTTTCTATTGAGCACAGGTTAGCTAAAGTGAACACAAGAAATGGAGAAGTAAAGGAGTTCAACAGAAGATTTCAAAGGGGCTTAAGAAGATAAAATATTCTAAAGAAATGTACAGAGTTGAAATTATAAAACCAAAATGGAAGAATGTGAATGACAGTTCAGACTGCAAAGAAAATTCAAGCCTTGAGTTGCAATATTGAAGGAGTCTATGGGCAAAAATATTGAATGCCACAGAAAGTATAAAAAAATGTGGAAGAGAAATACAGAGTTACTATACCAAAATGAACCGGTCAATGTTCAGCTGTTTCAGATGGTAGCATATGCTCAAGAACTGTTGGCACTACAGGAAGAAGTTCAAGCTGCTCTAAAGGCATTGGCAAGAAACAAGGATCCATGATTGATGTCATATCAATTGAGACACTACCAAACAGATACAACACTGGAATTGCTTATTCATCTATGTCAAAAAATTGGAAGACAGATACCTGGGCAACCAACGAAGAGACTCATATTTGTGCCCATTCCAAGGAAAGTCAACCAAACAGAATGTGGAAATTATGGAACAATATCATTTTAATCAGACTCTGCTGAAGATAATTTTTAAATGGCAGCAGCCATGCATTGATAGAGAATTGCCAGATGTTTAAGCTGGATCCAAAAAAGGGCCCAGAATGAGGGACATCACTGTGATGTCAGATGGAAGTAGGCCAAAAGAAGAGAATAACATAAAAATGTTTACTTGTGTCTGACTATGCAAAGGCATTTGACTACATGGATCACAAAAGTTATGAGTAACAGTGGGAAGAATGGGAATTCCATAACACTTAGTTGCATTTTACTTAGATTCAATCAATGCCCAAGGAAGCAGCAGACAAGAAATCGAATGATATGTTGCATGAGGCAAAACAGCTGAAAAGAAAAACACAAAACAAAACAAATGCTTTAAAGTTGTTAAGCTGCAGGATAATGCACTGGACTGCAAAGTTGGCTTGAACTGCAAGGTCAGAGGTTCAAATTCACCAGCTGCTTCTTGGAAACCCTCTACAGGGTTGCTATGAGTCGGAGCTGACTTGACAGCGCTTAACAACAACAAAGTGTTAAAAAGCAAAGATGTCACTTAGTCCTTTAAGGTACACCTGACCCAAAACAGGGTATTTTCAATGACTTCATATGCATGTGAAAGCTGGGCAATAAAGAAGGATGGATATATTTGAATTATGGTACTGGTGAAGAATATTAACTGTGCCATGGACTGCCAGAAGAACAAACACATCTGTCCTGGATGAAGTACAGCCCAAATGCTCCTTAGAAGTGAGGCTAGTGAGACTTCATCCCACTGACTTTGGACTTGTTATCAGAAGGAACCAATTACTGAAAAAAGGGCATCAAGCCTAGTATAGCAGAGGGTCAGAGAAAAAGATGAGCCTCCATGCGATGGATTGATACACTGGCTGCAAAAATGGGCCCGTGCACAGCAATGATTGTGGGGATAGTGAAAGGCTGAGGAACATTTCCTTCAGCTGTATATAAAGTCACTAAGTGTGGGAGCAGAAAGAGTCTATAGCACCCAGCGACAACGACATCACATGAGTACTTAGCCCTACCCAGCAAGTCTACTATTTATTGGGTCAACTTGCTTTTCTGTTCTCCCAGATGATTCTGCACATCTTCACTCTCCTTTAATCTCTAACAATCCCCTCTACCTCACTTGGCTCATGTCTTCATTTTCTACTACCCTGAGAAAATGGAGGAAATCAGAAGAACACTCTATGTCTCCCCAGTATCAAATTATCATCCTACTTGCATCTCTACCTATTATACTCTGCCTGCTATCCTGTTAAAAACAAAAAAGCAAGCTACCTGTGTTGCTATCTAAGGCTAAGCCTCCCATCTGTATATTCAGCACCAACCCCTTTGTTCCCCTATCTTCTCTCTCTCACCTACATCAATTTCCTCCTCTGTTGGATCACTTCCTTAAGCATATAAATATTCTGGGACATTGCCCATCTTAAGAACACTTGACCCCACTTCCAGCTCAACCTCTCAATTTCTCTGCGTGTTTAAGCAAAAGTCCTCAAGATGTCTGTCTATAGTTCGTGCTTCCACTTCATCTCCCATACTCATTCTCTTCTATCCCCTTGAAAATTAATTGGAGTCATTTGAAGACACTGAAGCCAAGTAACATAATTTCTTTAAAGTTTGTTAGACAGTTTTCTTTCTTTCCAAAATCCCACTCTTCTTTTAAGGTGCTCAAATCTTTGCTCAGGAATGTACTCATTAGGAACCTGTACATAGACCAAGAGCAGTCATCGGACCAGAATGAGGGGGCACTGAATGGTCTAGAATTAGGAAAGGTGTGCATCAGGGTGTGTCTTTTCACTATACTAATTCAATTTGTATTCTGAACAAATAGTCTGAGAAGCTGAATTATATGAAGAAGAATATGGCATCAGGATTGGAAAAAGACTCATTAACAAGCTGTGATATGCTGATGGCACAAACTTGCTTGCTGAAAGTGAAGAGAACTTAAAATACTCATGAAGATCAGAAACGACAGCCTTCAGTATGTATGTGTGTGCTACACCTCAATGTCAAGAAAGCAAGAATCCTCACCACTGGACAAATAAATAACATCATGATAAATGGAAAAAAGATTGAAGTTGTCAAGGACTTCATTTAGCTTGGATCCACTATCATCAGCCATGGAAGTAGCAGTCAATAAACCACAGGGCATATTGCATTTGGAAAATTTGTTGCATAAGGCCTTGTAAAGTGTTCAAGAGCAAAGAGGTCAGTTTGAGGATGGCGGTGTGACTGAGCCAGCCATGGTATTGTCAATAGCTTCATGTACATTGGCGGAATAGTGGAGCCCAGATTCAAAATCAGAGGGTGCACTCACCACTACACCACTGGTTCTCAAAACATAGTTCAAGAGCAGCAGGACCCACGTCTTTGAGAATCATGTGTCTGGGTGGTACAAGTGGTTAATGTACTTGGCTGCTGACCAAAAGGTTAGACAGAGAGTTTTCAGTCTACCCAGAGGTGTCGCTAAAGAAAGCTTTGGTGATCAACTTCTGAAAAACCCTACTCTTATCTCTTCCGAGGATGCTGTGTAGAGGCATTCAAAATGGTCCAGCATTTGACATGTCATCTTAGGCTGTCCTACAATACTGCCTCTAACAAAACTAGGCTGTTTTGAACCCCTGGTAATACAATGACCTCTATGCCAGCTGCTCCTTGGAAACCCTATACAGGGTCGCTAAGAGTTGGAATCTACTCGATGGTACTTAACAACAACACTAAGAAGGCTGGTAAAGCACCAAAATCTGCATGTGGTATATGCCTAGCTTGACTTCAAGGGGTCCATGCTGTAAGACCTAAAGTTCTAATGAGGTTGTCTAAGACAAAGAAACATGTCGTCAGGGCCTATGATGGCTCCATGTGTGCTACATGTATCCATGACAGGATCGAGCATGCTTTCCTTATTGAGCAGGACATCATTGTGAAAGTGTTGAAGGGACAAGCACAGAGTCAGAAAGCTAAATAAAAAATAATGAAACTTTTCTGAATAATAAAAAGGTCAAATGGCTTGTTAAAAAAAAACAAAAAAAAAACCCTACTCTGACACACACAGAGCCACCATGAGTCAGAACACACTCCAACATCAATTGTAGTAAATCTGTTAGAAATGCAAATTCTTAGGCCTCACCCTAAACCTAAGGAACAAGATAGCTCCATGGGATAAGCACCGGATTGTGAACCACAAGGTTGGCAGTCTGAGCCCACCAGCTGTTCCTTGGGAGAAAGAGGAGGCTTTCTGCTCCCCAAAAAGATTGAAAAAG